TTATATGCTGCAGATGACAAGGAGTCAGCAGGGTCAGATTTGGCTTTGGAACATGTGCTGCAGACATCAGTGACTACAAGGCCCGAAGCCCCTGTAGCCTTGCCCTCCAAGCTGAGTACCTCATCAACCTCCCAGTAGTCCAACAAGACACTTTACCTATCAGAATCACATACTTTAATAATTCATTGGTTGAAAACCACTTCCAGATTGATAGATGCCTTGTTACTACAGTCATGTTAAGCAATAACAACACAAATCAATAAAAATCATCAAATAATTCAGTTACTTAACACCCATTGCAACTGCCATTAGCAAGAGGTTTGAGAGCTGTTCATAAATCTCTTTAGCATATTATAAATTCCCCAGAGAGCACTCAGGTGCCCCAGCTATGGTGATAAATGGTGCACACACTCCAATCCTGCCCCTGTACTATTAACTGTAATAGTTTCACATTTAAAAATTGTGTCCTGGGAATATGGCTGAGGACACAGCACTCTAGAGACGAGTTAGCAAGAAAAGACACGGACAGTCAGAGCACACAGGAGACCAGACCATGACTCACCACATAACCCTGAGGAACTTATTTACTTTCTCATTTTAAGTGTAAGCCTCTCTGATAAATGTATATCAAAATGTAATCACTTCATGGGCTTTTATGTAGTCTGATTAATGATATTTAGAGAGCACTTGGAGATCCCTGGATGGAGGTTGGGGGGTTTTGTCAATTTGTCATTACTGCCTTCAGAGTTTTAATTTCTTGTGTCAGGTCCCTCAATTTAGAGAAGTTCTTTCTAATGCTCTGCATGCACTTTGTGAAACTGACTGCTGGTGTCAAATGCCAGCATATTCACAGGGCATAAACCATCTGGTTTTGCTGAAACTAAATATTCCCATGTTTACTGAGGAAAATAGATGCGGACACTTTCAACTCTTGCAGTTGTTCCTTCCTGACAAACAGGAGGAGATGATTTTTTTCTCTCCAAAGCAGAGGAATAGTAAGCTTGATTGACATTCTGCAAACTGCAGATCCTGCAGGGCCAAAGTATTTACCTTGTTTTGCTTCAGAAGTACTTCCCCCTTCCTCGCTTGGGAGTAACACTTCAGCAGGTGTTGTGTATTTCTGATAGTTTGTGGGCAGTAGGACAGGCTTTCAGGGGAACTGAGATTGTATCACATGCCAACAAATATAATCTAAAGAAAAAAAAAAAACAACTCTTCTCACACTTTTAAATAGTTCTGATATGGAGAGATGAAGTAACCTGTGATACAAACCCCTGATTATGTCTCACCTTGTCCTTATTTTGCATGTGGCTCCCGGAGGGCTGGGACAGCTGGGAGCTGTCAGGATAGGGCAGGGGGAGCTGCTCTTTTCAAAAAAATAAGATTTTCAAGTCACACTTACTGGATTAAAATATTTATTCTTTTTTTTTTTAACTGTTTCAGCACTGGTTCTTGACATCAACAATCTGTTTTCTTATTTTAATTCCAAATACAGGAACATCTAGACCTGCCTTGTCCTGCCCTGCCTTTTAAGTATGCATAAAAGGCAATGATAGCATAACTACATTTACAGGAATCAAGGGGCAGTATTAATCTACAAAAAAATCTTGTTCTTCAGAAAATACTATTAACAAAGCTTTGATGAGTACAGCATGTGTATTTGTGTATCAACCAAAGATCTCATAATGTGTTTCAAATAATAGCTACATCAAGAGAGACGGACCAGCACTACCGCTGAATGATTGGGGCATTCACGTGGCAGAGATCCATAATCGAGTCCCTGGCCCAGCGGATATTTAATTGTTTATACAAAGTGTTTCAGCTCCAAATAGTGATACCAAGAGAGCCGGTATGGATACAGCAGTTCAGAAGAAGATACACTCTTCTCTGTCTATCTTAGGTATGTGCCTTCAAATCCAAACCACTGGCTAGTTTGGGACTTTTCTCCTTCTTTTATTTCTCAGGAATGTTGAGAAAGTCTTGGTTTTATCCCAGTGTAGAAGATAATTATTTATTTTTACATCTTAAAAGGATATAACCCAAACCAACTATTTACCCAGTTTTAGTGCAAATACTGACAAATGATAAAGGGTCATAAGGTACTACGCAGTGGGATCTGTTGGGTGTTCTCCACCTATCTATGAATCTAAACTTTTGGAACAAAATAGGGATAATTTATCTGCAGTCTTTGTTAAATTTTGAGATTACCTTGATACAGTTTCCTGCCATTTCTGATTAAAGAAGCAGGATCTGTAAGTATTTTTGTAAACAAACTCTCCTAAGAAAATACATTGGTGATTTGGATCAGTAATTTCTGCTTCAAGTAAGAAACTGGAGAACAACACTGAGGAGGTAGCAGTGGTTCAGCTATTGCCTCCTAGGGAGAAACTGCTCCTAATTACATGCTGGAAAACTAACCACATGGCTCCTACTGGCCTTTCCCTCCCATCCACACCAGAACTGCAGTCAGCCCAAGTTACAGTTTGCAAAGGTTATAAAGTACACTAGAAACAAGCTGTAGTGACAGGATAATGTTGTAAAATACTGCCATGTGCTATCTAGCAGATAACTGATGACAGACCTAGAAGGGCAATGTAGCTGAGGCCACGGTTTTTGAAAGTTACAATGGCATAATAAATAACTTAAAACTGCATGTAGTGCACTAAATTTAAAGTGCAGTGAATAACAGAAGTATTGTTTAAACCAACGTAAGGTTACTAGGAAAGAGTAGGTAACAGAGAGATGCTGAGTCAGTGCTCTGTAGCCGAGGAAGCAACTGTTTCAAATTTGCAGCAGCAGACAAAGTGAGAACTCATGTCTAGAGAGCCACAGTTTAGGGAATGGCATTAAGTAACATATAATTGTTTTGCCATCTTCTTTGGAAATTTCTGCCCTGCAGAGCTGACAAACTCAGCAGAAGAACCCTACAAATTAAAGGACACCTTGAGACAGCACATGGACAAAGAGAGGAAAAGTGACATACAGGGTATTAACAGTAAATGAGGGTGAGACCACGTAGGGCAAAGTTAAAAGAAAAGCCATGTTGGTGGATATGAGAGGAAACTTCAAAATGACTGAAAGGCAATTTAGAAAGGTGAGCATTACTAATGGGATTTTGACAGAGGCATCAGTGATGCTCAGCTGCCCTTGCTACTTGAATTGCCAGTTAGGTATCTTTGGCCTGTATCTGTGTACCATATAATGCCAAAAATTACTAAACATCTCCCCTTGATCAAAGAAAATTCATTCATTCCACATTAACTGTTTCTTTCTGAATCACAGAAGACAATGAACCTCATTCTCGGATCTTTTAATTCTGTTTACTGTACTTGGATTATGCCAACATGAAAAACGGGACCTGTCAAGTTTTACCCACTGAGGGAGAAACTCATGTACTTGTTTCCCTGTTCAAGCTATGAAGAAAGGGGGGGCAAACTTTACAGGGTTATGCAGCAGAGTGAGGTGACCTTCCAACTGCTTGACAACCCACATACAGCTGGGGAGTAACAGTCACCCAGCCGTGTTCCCAATAAAATAAGACACTGGCACAGAATCTACAAGGAAATTAGTGAGGTATTTTTTGTAGCTTGTTCTGTTTCACAGCATCTCTGCTAATTAAATTATTTTGTTATTTTGATATGCTGCTGAATTGTTTCAGGAACATGCTGACATGCCTAGTAAAAAACAGTTCTTAGAGAATTATGTTTTGCTCAGTGTATCTGAAACTTTAGCATCTTCTTGAGTTTTGGAAGATATTAATTGTATTGTTATGCCAGAGTAAAAGATAATTTCATATCCCCATTTAATTGTCAATGCAGAATGTTCTGTGATAATATGATATAATTATATCTGAACCTGATGTTGTGATGGCTTAAAATAACCCTCAGGGCAGTTTGGTTGTGTGAAACAAAATTGGGACAATTCCTAAATGCTCAAGAGGGACTGCGGATCTATTAGTTTTGGCAGCAATAAGGTAGCTGGGATAAGAAAGAATCTTTTAAAAGACAAATAATTATTTTTCTTAATAAAAAATGAAAGAAAAATATTTTAAGATATCCTTTTTTTATTTTGATCACAGAATTTGAAAAATAAGAAAGAATAGCTGTATGTGCTTTCAGCAGATGAAATTATATTTCCATATATCCTGTCTACCTGTGTAAGTATTTCAAAAGGGTGTTCTTTTATTCGACTGTCTGGACACCTGGCATCATCTGATGTCTAATCATAGCCCCACCTTGTCCTAATTGCTTTTGTTTTGCTCATACTCCCTTTATTCTAATCAAGAGATAAAAAACTAGGTTTCGAAATTATGTAAGGTGACAGGATTTTGCTGGCTTGTATGAACTGATGGAAAAAATTCAAGTTCAAGCTCACAAAGATAAGTTTCTCCATCGACATCTATATTTAGGCATATAAAGAAGTGGTCTGTTTTTTTCTAGAACATCTGCACTTTGTTACTTTGTCAACGTGCATGTATTTGTGTGCTGTCCCAGCTCACAGTAAGTTTTCACCACCTCCATTTTAAAGCACTTCTCTGTCCAATCAAGGCAAGCATCTGTTGACAGAAGTATGTAAACACGTCTTTAGAGAGCTCATCTTAAAGAAAAAAAAAAAAGGTTCAGAAATCACCAAAAAAGTACTCTTAGCAGATCTAGCCGCGATGAAACACAGCGGTTACGAGTTTTTTCTGACAACTGCGCGAGAAAAGAGCACAACTCGTCACTCCGGTCATGACAGAATTTTTTTAATCAACTGCGAGATTTCACAGGTGCAGCCTTAGCACAGGAAGGGGTGACACGCAGCCTCCTCGGACTGGTTTCCCTGCCTTTTGCCCATAACCGAGGCTGCCAACGCCCCCGACCCCGGGGGTTCCCGGGACACCCGCGGGGACGGGGCACTGTGGGAAGGAGGGAAGGAGCGGTGGTTCCGCGCACGCGCCGCGCTCTCGGGCGGGCTCCGCGACGCCTGCGCGGTGGCGGAGCGCGGAGCGGCGGCGGCGGGCGAGGCGGCACATGCGCCCTGGCGGCTCCTGGGGCGGGGAGGAGGCGCGGGGAGGAGCGGCGGCACTTCCCCTGTTTTAGCTGCGAGACAGCGGGCGCAGGAGAAGCCGGGCGGCCGCCGGGGACCGCCGGAGGGGGGTGGGGGGAGTGCCACTGTCGCTGCGGCCGCCGCTCCCTGCTCCTCCTCCTCCTCCGCGGAGCGCCCTCCACCCCGCCCTCTCCCCGCCCGGGACCGAGTCTGGTGGCCACAAAATGGCGGACGGGGAGCTGAACGTGGACAGCCTCATCACCCGGCTGCTGGAAGGTGAGCGGGCCGCCGGGCAGCCCCTCCCGCCCGCCGCAGAGGGCACGGCCGCCGCCCCCTGGGACAAGCCGGGGCTGCTGGCGAGGTGTGGGGGGAGCGAGGGCAGCGCCCTGCCCGCCCCGCCGGGCCCGGGGTGGCGGCCGGGAGCGGGCTCGGCGCGTCCCGCCGGTGCCCCGAGCCCCGGCCGGGCCCCGCAGCCCCACGGAGGGAGGAGGTGCTGGTGTGCGCGGGGGGTGCAACCACCTTGTCGGGGTGAAGGGGCTGCCTTCCTATTTAAACGAAAAAAAAAATTATAAAAAAGCCTAATTTTCCGTCTTCACTTTTTTCACCTGGCTGCAGCTGCCTGGCTAAGGGGCGAGCTGGGGACCCACCTCTAGCCGAGCTGAGGGCGGCCTTTTCCCCCCCTCCCTCTGGTCGCGTTGGTAGTCGCAGTGCTCCGTGTGTAAAATTACGTCTGCGAGCAGCGCTAGGTGTGGAGTTGTGTGTACGTGAGTGTCGGCGGGAGCAGGGGGATTTAGTGCGCTGACATTCCTCAGCCTGCCTACGGGGCAGTCTCCAGAAGTGGCTCTCATGGGTGGCTGATAAAGGCTAGAAGCTCCTTTTGGATAAGCCGAGGAACTATTGCGAGCATTTTCTTTTTATTTAAGTTAATGTTCTGAATGTTAAGTCTTCTTGGGTCTCTTCTCCCATTAATCTTGCATTCCATATTCGACAAATACCTGGTATGCTGGAAATGAGAGTACTTGCATGGGTATGTTCTGTTCATTTATTTGGTTGCTGTACTCCTCAGAGAGTTGGATCACATTGCAGAAGGCTTATAGAAAGGAATTCATGGAGTATGTAGAGTTTTAGAAGTGAAACGAGTTTTGTAAGGCTGAAAGTTTTTTGTAACTACAAAGCAGAGTTTTTAGATCTTTGAGGCCATTTTAATACCTGCTATCTGTTCTTTTTTCAGTGTCAAAATTATGAACAGAAAAATCAGTATTTTAAAATACAAAAAGGCTTTGGGCAGTTGTATTTATGTTTGTGATTTAAGGCATGCAGTTTAGTATGAAGAAACAAGTATTATCAGTAGATCACTATTTCAGATAAAACTCCCTTTTTCTGGATGTTGAAACAGATTATTAAGTAGGTTGTTAAGACAGACCACAGAGTAACCTAGTAAGTGTTTACTCTGTACAGCAAATTTTCTTTTTGGACATCAAAATGCAAATATAATTGTGGTGGTGGATTTTTTTGAGAAATACTTTAAATAATATATTTGAAAGATACTTGTTGCTCATCAGTGTAGCTATTTAAATTTGGATTGCCTCAAGAGGAGGGGATTCTGCAGTGTTTTGGTATGCAACTTAGATTGTTCTGTTCCCTCCTAAATATTACTCTGCTTATCCTTCTTTCTTTTCACAAGGTCTTTTAAAATACGTGTTCCATGCCTTTTACATAAACCATAAATACTTGTGTTGCAACTTTGTAGCTTTTTGGGTTATGATTGGGTACCTTGTTTTGGAGCGACCTAACCTGTGCTTTTTGTCTTCTGTAGTACTTTAATCTTTGGGGATATGATGTGCAACTTCTGAACCAAGCCTTGTGTATAATTTTTCACCTGTTTCTCAGTCTGTTTTTCCCTCTGAGCAGAGGTTAGGAAGATTAAGGGAAATGCGTTTTCTCTCTGCTTGTCATCTACTAACAGAAGTACCTTGTACAACATCTTGTACCTGAAACGTAATAGAATCTTAAGGGTTTTATTTGAAAAAACACAAGATTAAAAGATTGCATTGTATATGCATTATCTTTCCTTCCATTTAACATCCTTTATTTATAGCACTGCTAGCTATAGTATTCTAAGCTGTGGTTCCAATAGTAATGTTTCACAATGAAGCTTTTTTGTGTGTGTGTACAATTGGCAGCTCACATTCTGGAGCTCATGCTGTTGCTTAGCTGACCTGTTCTGGTAAAGTGAGTATGAATCCTCCCCACGCTGGTTGCGCAGAAAAAATTCTGTTGACTCTTATCTGCAGTTAAATCGTTTAAAGCAAGTTTTTTGGCTCCATTGCTCCCTCTTCAACTTTGATTTAAAGGATAAGGAAATGTGGCTTTTGAGCTTTCAGTGTAAAGCACAGTGAAATAATAAAAAGACACTTTCATGAAATGTTGTCATGCAGTATATATTTAGTCCTTTTGGTTCCTTTAAGTGAAATGGATGGCTTTAAGTTTGAATAATAGTCTACAATTATCTCTCAGTAGGTGCTGCACAAATTTTTCAAGGGTAGCAAATACGTATCAAAATCTACAGCAAAAGGAAGCTTCCCTGCTGTCATTGGGATGCTGGGTGGTGACATCTGTTTCCAGGCTGTGATATTAACTGTCAGGAGTTCTTGCTCTTACTTTAATTAGGCTACTCTACCTGGTTTTATTGTTATTGGGTTTGGGTTATATGACATGTTAACTTACCTTTTAACTGGGTTTACCTACTTAGATTGTCTCACTTTCCACGTGTTCCACTGTGGGCTTTTTCTGTTTTTTTCTGAGATACCGATATGACGTGGCCTATAGCCGGGCTGTTGGGAGGATTCATCAAGAACATCTTCCCAGTCCTCGGCGAGCGTGCACGCCTGCTTATCTTGAATGTATGCTTATTCTGGAGATCTTCTGAGTGCTGAAAGCCAGATTGATTAACTCTTGAGTTAAACTGGAGATAGTTTTCATAAAGACTCAACTGAACCATGGTGTAATGCATGTCGATAGTCTTCCAGGATATTAGCTTTTAATTTCCATGTTCTTTTGCATATACTAAGTTCTTATCCTCTACTTATTGGTCAAGTGGTGAATTTAGGAATGGTAAGAGTTCATTTTGAATTAACTCTCTCTTGAAATGTGTCTAGTACTTTGTCACTAATTAGTGATACCTTATAAATAACTTCTGTTTGAAGGAAAGTAAAACTAAAGTGTATGCTGTAGGCATAAAGTCTGAACATAGCAAGGCTTTCTCTTACTTGTTTGACCTCTACCAGGTACCTTCTGTCATTCCTGTTTCTTTACTAGAAGAGTGAGGCAGATGCTGGTGCTCTTACACATGTACCTCGCTGTCTTGGAGCTACTTCGAGTTTTATTGTGGGATTTCTTACAGGAGTGAATCTGCAAAGATTTGCAGGTCATATAAAGACAAAATTCCATGGCTTTGCTAAAATCCTTTTGTACTGGTATGTGACCATGAAAGTGAGTAATCCAAATCCTTCTTGCCCTGGTAGTCAGAATCTTGGGTCAGGCTTAGCTATGTTATAGGACACAAAGATGATAGCCTTATTTTTGCTTCAGTGTGTGTGCTTTTGGCATGTTTTTATTTTTTTTTCTTCCTACCTTCCCAGCTATGCCATCTGGTGGATAGATTTTTCCCAGCCCATTCTAGCTGTGGACAACACAGGAGTATGCGCACACACACGAGGCTGCCATGAGTACAGCAGATGTGGAGCACAGAATCATGGAATGGTTTGGGTTGGAAGGAACCATTAAAGGTCACATAGTCTAACCTCTCTTCAGTGAGCAGGGTCATCTTCAACTAGATCAGGTTGCTCAGAGCCCTGTCCACTTGACCTTGAATATTTCCAGGGATGGGGCATCCACCACCTCTTTGGGGAACCTGTTCTGGTGTATCACCACTGTCATTTTAAAAAATTTCATCATCATATCTAGTCTGAATCTACCTTTTTTTAGTTTAAAACTGTTATTCCTTTTCCTATTGCAACAGGCCTTACTAAAAAGTCTGTCCCCATCTGCCTTTATAAGCCCCCTTTAAGCACTGGAAGGCAGCAGTAGTGTCTCCCCGAAGCATTCTTTTTTCCAGCGTGAACAGAGTTTTTCTGCTTTCAGCATAGTTTTTCTTCCTAGTCCCTGCAGCTGCTTCTTGTGTTTTGCCTCATCTTGGAACACCATGTATCCCTATGGAGGAAATGCCCTGATATTTGCAACAATGCTGAGCTGAGTGGGTACGTCAGTCTTACATTTAAGCCAGATTCTAAGCCAATTTAAGCTTTGGCGATGTGTGGAAAAAGTTCCCTCAATATCAAAGCAAGGAGACTGGAGTAGGGTAACCTTACTAGTAGAAAGTGCTGTGCTAGGTGTTAAGTAAGACTGCCATATTACTGTCCAGGTGTTGGGCTTCCTGTTTCTGTGCAGTCTCTTAAAATTTTTGGATATAAGGCAACCCAACTGGACTGGATTTCTGCTCTTTTAAATGTATAGGTGTCTTGGTGAATACTAAGAAGTTTACTGTATGGCAGAGAGCATGTACTTGGGGAAACACAGACATATAGTAACCTTAAATACAAGATGGCTTTCTGGGGTTTGGGTTCATGTATATTGCTGTACAAAAAAATTTGCCTTGTCTAGGGAAGACTCCTTGCTTGCCTAAATTGGCTAACCTATTTAAAATTAACAATGTAAATTAATTTGATGGAGCTTAATGTGGATCTTCTCTAAAACAAAATTATATTTGCTGAGGCTGAGGGCTACTGGTTCTGATGGTACCAATCCACCAAGAAAGCTGGGAAATAGTTATCCAAGAAGATAAGTGTCAGGCTACCAGTAATTGTGGAGAATGGTTACTGCTTCCATGTTCAGCTCAAAGTTGTTGTTGTTGTTTTTCTGATTGCTGCCTTAAAGCTGGTTGTGTATTGTTCTTGCTTTGTTGTGTGATGTGTTCTAAGAAAGCTACAAGCTTCATTTTCTTCTGATTTCAAAGATCTTACAGGTTGACTTAAAGATAGAAATTTCAATATTACTTGATTTTTCAAATGAAAGTTGGATTTTAAATGCTTATGAAATAATTGGAATTTTCTTTATTAGTTTTAAATGGTATAGAGCTACTGGTCTAATGTATTATGGTCAATAACATAATTCTTGTTTGGTTGGTGTCTTAACTAATTAACATATCCAGCCAGCCGGGTGGTATTAGGATATGGTAGTAGTGCCTGCAGTTCCAGGCTCTGTAACTGATGCTGAAA